TTATTTACAGACAACTTGATGGGATTATACTTTCTGCACCGAGTTCATTGAATAAACTGACTTGGAAGTTGAGTTCTGCAACCCATCCTGTGTGTTGTAATACCATAGCTGCAACATTGTGACAGATACACTGTATTACATTATTAAGAAACAGATATATTAGCTAATTATTTAAGGTGCCTGTTAAATTAAGCAGTTTTTCTTAGACATAATTTACTCATGGTTTATTTAAATAATTTTACATAATACATGTACATAATATAACTTACTCTTAGCTTACTTATAATTCTAGGTATAATTTAATCATAGCAAAATTGATTAATGGAACCAAATAACAGCTCGTGTAGTCCACAATCTCAGTCGAGAAGAAGAACAAATCACATTGAAGTTGAATAATAAAATTATTATTAGAAGCCTTTGCAAGTATTCATGATCAGCAAAAAAAAAAATATATCATAATTACCGTTCATGCGAGAGTGATTTTGCGTATTGCAAAGCCTTCCAGCAGGAGGAGAATCCATACAAAAGTGAAGGTGGCTAAATGTATCTTTGGGGACAAGCTAGAAAACAAAACTTTCCAACTTTTCACATATGTATACTATTTTGGTATTTTTGCGAGATTTCATTTGGTAGAGATTTAGGGACTGAGTGTTGTAACCACTGCATTTCAATCAGTCCCCACAACAACAAAAAATGTGTAAACTTTTTTTGTGTGGGAGTCCCCATGTTAACTAAGAAAGTATATAATGATTAATAACAATGTCTTCTCTTTCTGAATAAGGTGGGAAAGAACAAGAAATGCCACCAAAAAGCACAGAACACAGTTCTGTTAAGTGATCAAGATTTTTGTTGGCTTCCCAGAAATCCTTGAAATCATGGCTCTATATTTCATAATCACACCATCTTACACCTCGATCTGCTGATGTAATTACATTTCCGGCTGAAACTATTAAATCGTTCGCAATTTACCTCACATACATGTTCGATTATTTTCATTAGTAACAGCATTCCAAGAAATAACTGAGCTCCGCTTTTAGGCTTGGCTAAATCTATATATGACCAGAAACTGTAATTTGCACCCCTAAGCGGACAGATAACAAATGTCCCGCCCCTTCCACCTGGAGGTCCTCTAAGGGTGTAGTCCCTTGTCCGTAGTGAGAAGTTAAAAAAAATGTTCAAATGTTGTTGTTCAGTAGAGATCAATGCACTTAGCTAGCTTTCTTGTGGAAGTAAATATTTAACAGTTATTTCACGAGCGCGTGTTGGATATGACAAAGTAGACAGTCAACGAGACGCGTGTGCAATAATTGTTTTATTAAAAGCGCCTCCAAAATACAGAAAACTAAAATAATAATAATAAAAAAGCCCCCCAAAATTACCGCACGCTAACTTTATTTGTAGAGCATGGTATAATGGCTCATATACCTTGAACACTAAGCCAATGAAAACCTTGAATTGCATCCTCCAAAGATTCCATTTTTAATAAAACGAGATAAAAGCTGTATATATGCCTATTCCGTTGAAAAAATCCAGTCATTGGCTAATGAATGCAACATAACACTCAACCGAAATTTTTTTGTCCCAAGACAATATCCTTCATGCGAGCAGTTTCATTCGAATACCGTAAGCAGTGGCGAGATTGAACGCATAATATCATCAATGCCATCAAACAAAGCCCCAGGGATCGACAAGATTTCTGTTCGTGTTTTGAAGGACTGCCTAAACCCGATTCTTCCAGTAATTACGTCTATTATCAACACTTCTATTGANACCACTGCATTTCAATCAGTCCCCACAGCAAAAAAAATGTTTAAACTTCTTTTGTGTGGGAGTCCCCATGTTAACTAAGAAAGAATATAATGATTAATATAACAATGTCTTGTCTTTCTGAATAAGGTAGGAAAGAACAGGAAATGCCACCAAAAAGCACAGAAGACAGTTCTGTTATGTGATCAAGATTTTTAGTGGCTTCCCAGAAATCCTTGAAATCATGGCTCTATATTTCAGAATCACACCATCTTACACCTCGATCTGCTGATGTGATCCTATTTCCGGCTGAAACTATTAAATAGTTCGCAATTTACCTCACATACATGTTCAATTATTTTATTAGTAACAGCATTCCAAAAAGTAACTGAGCAGCTCCGCTTTTAGGTTCGGCTAAATCTATATATTACAATAAAACTCTTTAAAGACAATTGTCGACATGATTTAGGCCATCTTCAGTCAGTTAAGGAAATACACTCCATATACAGTATAGCTAACTTACAAGTACAAAACTGGAAATGAAGATCACATGCAACAGCAATTTAACAAAAGTTAACTCAAAGCTGTCTCAGTGTGTTAGGTACAGATACCATTACACAGTGTGTGGTACTATCCTATACTTAATACAGGTGTTGAAATGTTGAGCTTGTGCATTCAACTCAGGATTAAAAATTTTAGTACAATCAAAGCACTTACGCGTCACTCAACTTGGAAAATGGATTGTCTGTAAACGGTGACAATTTTCATGCCTCTGAACCAAGATTTTAATGCTTAGATGCTCTATGATTTATTTACTGTTCATATTATTTACGTTACTTACAGTACCATATAGATAAAAGGGAATTCTCTTCAATTCGCCTGTCCGTTTCTTGTCACACAGCTCATCAATTTTTTTGATTTTCAACATCTTTTTGCAGTCGAGAACAGTCAAACCTGTATTGAGCGGACACCTTCTAGAAATTGGCTATTTATATAATTAACTTCCATACATAGTGATGTTTGTGCGAAAACCTATTCAATGTAGATTAGTTCTGCGGTGGATATCGAGTACTTGTGTCAGAAATGCAAATCCCTAAGAAGAGGTGATCTGAAGCTTTCTAAATACATGCACGTCTAAAACGAACTGAGAGCTGCACTGTATGCTGAATTCTGTATCGACCATCATTGAATTGCAGTCTAGCAAACTAGGCAAAATATCTGAGTAGGTGATCTCATTGTTTCCATCGAGCCAATCACAGAGAGTTCTGATTGCTAGCTAAGCGAAGAACGCAAAAAATTGATGAAGGAAGTGAACGTTCAACTCACATCAGTGCTTGAGGTGATCTTGCTTCTGTGCATGGTCACGATTTTCCTTGCAAGCTACAGTATCCCGGATGTACTGAATTTGACCGATAAGGAAACCTAAATGCACCCTACCCTAAACCTAACCCAATTTGGAACAATTTTATTCCTTAGCTACTATATCTTTTTTGGAGTTTGGAGCATGTTTGGCTCAAAACAATACGGCTCAAGAGCCGCCGTAACCCAGAGTGGTAGTTAAAAGGCTTGTCAGAAGCCATTTGGACAAAATCTCTCAGACCGAAAGAAGTACTGGGTACTGTTCAAAATGATGGCAACGATGTCGAATTCTGGGCTTCTTTGGGGACGAATTCATAAGGTAAACCTGCACTTTAGAGGCTGAAACTTCGGTGAGCGCGGGATAAACTTAGTGCAAAGCTTTTATTAGTGTTGACAAAAAATATACGTTTTTTCGAGTGACCTTACCCTTTAAAGACGATTGTATTTAATACCTTCAACTTGTAAAGTTGATTATCAAGTATCTCCTCTCATATTTTTTCAGCTCAATGCCCTAAAAGGTGCTGCAAAAGCTACCGCTGAGGATGTTTTGAGGCTGAGCACCTTAAGAGGTACCAAAACCACTTTTTTAACCTCTATAACATACGATCCTTTTGTATAGGAGTCCCCCCCCCCCCTGGATCCTGACATAATGACAAAATCATAACATAAGCAACATAAAAGGAAAAAAAAACGACATACGGAAAAAAAAACTGATCCCTTCCTTACATCTTTCTGTCGATTTTTACATAACCAACAAAAGATAAGATGAGATAAGAACTTTATTAACGTGTCGAAGTCGCTAACATACAATGTATACTAATTGGGGACACCTAACTACGTTTACTTATCTAATAATTAATAAAATATTATGCCATTATATCATGTCATTATGTCATTCATGTTGCTATGTCGTTAGTGTGAACCAGGCCTAACCGAATACGAAATGCAACAAGGGATGAGTCATAAAGTACAGGGGGAGGGGGTGAGCTATGAAAAATTGCTTTTTAAGTACTGGTTTTTAGTGGCCCACCCCCGAGAAATTGGAAATAAATTGGAGCGGTCCACCCCTGGAGTGGCACAGACACACATCATCATCTTTTTCACTGCAACTTCCAGTTTCTTGGAGAACTACATGGTAGTCTTCGCTGCCGCAATCATACTCATTGTCATCACAGCCATTGTCATCATCATCAGTATCATCTGCATGAATACTGTCATAGTCATCGTCGCCTGTCACCTCCTCCTCGTCGTCATCATGAAAATCAACATTTTCTTCCACATTAACCTTTCTCGCAGATTGCCCACTGGTTGCTTTGTCAAGTTGGGCTTTGGCTAAGCAAGCTGAAGTTAATATTAGCTTCTCGGTTTCCTTCATTTTTTTTAATTTCTCAATTGGTACTTTTCCAGCAAGAGATTTCAAACTGTTACTTTTACCTTTTTCATTGTCCTTGCGATGACGAAGGCAGAAGCCCAGAAAGAAAACACAAAAGAAAGTATCCTTTTGCAAAAGATACATTTGTATGTAAAAAGAGAAGAGTGAAAGAAAAAAAAGCTAAAGCTACGAATCGCCAGCGTGAAAGGGCAGAGAAAAACTGTGAGAGTGTTCTCTACAGTTAGTTAATCATCATCTTATCATGATGTTGGTATTGGTATAAACTTGGATCATTGTGGTATGACACTTTCATAATTGTTAACTGCGTTAAAGGAAGTCACGTTAGAGAGATGGTCGCTGGTTAAAACTATTGATAATGCAGTGCAATATTTTTCCTGACCCACCCTTTTTGACATGTTGAAAAATGGTGACCCACCCCCAATTTTTCATAGCCCATCGCCCCTGTACTTTATGACCGGCCCCTAACATGTGATAGTTAGCAAAATTGTAACTCACAACTTACCAGGCGATTGCTCTTGCCGGCTGAGTAAATCCCTGAGAGTAGCGTGGTCTCTTGGATGTATAATTACCACTTTAAGTTCATCCCGATCGGAAACTTCCACAAACGAGCTCTCTTTTGCTGCTTCTGCTGCCTTTTGAAAAAACCTCTCCAGAATTTTTAAAGGTGTGTAGTGCTCAATCGAGCAGCATGCCATGAATTTTAAAAGCTGTGAATAAAGAGCAGTTCGGCTCAGTAATTAACAGGGACTCTTGTCCTGTCTGACCTCTGTCCCGAAGGAAAGATAAAAACCCCTAACTATCGCTTTCACGACATTCTCTAGCGAATTCTAAATAAGGTAAGTAAGGCGCAATGCATGAGAGTCGTTACATGATATTGCGAGACAACGTAAATATCAGAGTACACAGAGAATGCGCTACAAGCTGGAAATACGAACTTGAAAGAAACACAACAAAAAAACTCATTTCCTGTTATATTATCAGCAGATCGGCCTAAGATGGAAAACAGTTATAAAGTCATTTTAAAAGTTTCTATGGCCTCGACATTCCACCTAGAGAGGAGAAAAGTGAAGCATAAACGCCCTAAAACTCGACAGTAACAAACGAAATACACAGAAGAAGCGAGGAAAGTTAGTGAAACGCATTTTTATTGCATTTGTTTTCTGTGGTTCAAGTTTCTGAATAAGCATTCCCGTAGCATGCGTTCAGAAAGATTGAAGAAAAAAGTAAAGCCTCAATACACCGAGACGAAGCTGAGAGGTGAAGTCAAGCATGAAAGTAGCCAAGCAGAGAAGAAAAGGAGATGGAAAATATTGGAAAGGAAGCAAAAGGAGCAGCACGAAGCCAACATAGGTAAGACGAGCTATGGTCTTACAAAGACAATCTGCAATGGAAGACTTAGGCAGATCAAAACAGAACTGGATTAAAACGGACACCTTAACGGTAGAAAAGAAGAAGAGCAGATAAGATAGCCAGAAACAGCGAAATCAATAAGATGATAGCAGACATTGTTACTGGTGAGCCAACACAAAATGAACGCCAAAATAATGGGAAAACACCAGGAATGCACTCCAGTAAGGCTGAGTTGCTGAAGGCAGACAGAGTTCACAATAGAAAAAACACAGCAACTATTGAGGAAGGTAAGGAAGCATGAAAAGATCCCAAAGAGCCGCAATAAAGGGCTAATCGTGAGACTGGCGAAGAAAGGAAACCTTAAAAAATGCAAGAAATGGTCGGGATTAGGATTTTTTTGCAGATCAATATGGACTGGATGAGAAGAACATTTGGTCACGAAGAGAATGGCACCAACAAATTAATCTTGACGAGGTAGACTTCCCTGAGGAACAGCACATCTTGGTAAAAACATCAAGACTGCTGGAGGAAGTAGGAAGTGTTGGAGTTATGGTAACTGGACGAAAGGCCAAAATAACGAGGATTAATGCAAGGAGCTATGGCACGATCAAAGTGGATTGACAAGAAGAAGAGGAGGTCGTGGACGAGTTCATTTACTCAGGATCAACAGTGAGTTAAAGGGAAGAGGTATGAAAGACCTGAAGAATAGAATTTCGAAAGCAAGGAGTGCCCTCCTCCAAACTAAGAAGATCTGGAAGAGCGATAACATCACAAGGAGAACAAAGCTGTGATAGAACAAAGCGCCAGTCTTGCTATGCGGTGCGAAACTCGGAAGATGAACAGAGGAGACATCAAAGCGGTAGAATGTAAGAACATGTAAGCACCAAAGAGTTTCTAGAATGAGCAATGAAGTAAAATGGTGAAGATGGAAGGTAATTGGCCATATAGCACGGAACCATAATTGGCTAATAAGCCATATAGAACCCTATCCCTAAGAGTTTACACTAATAATTGTACTCTGTTAGCCTCACACCTATCTCTAAAAAGTAGGAATTATATAGACGATGCATGTTACCTCTGTTTGGTTTTCGCGACTCATTTCCACGATCAGCATACACTCAGAAAATGTTGCTGTTCCCTTTTCGAATAATGACCATAAGTCTCTGTAAGTCAATTTTTTAGTGGTCTCTTCGTTGTACTCTCTTATGAATTTTCCAAATCTGAAATCAGTGGTAAAGGCATATCGAAAGTAACTAAGACTGTTCCAAAACTTTCCAAAGGTGCTTTTGGCAGCTTATATCGGTCCCGTTGATAGCACCTACTAACTGTGAAAGGTGGATATTTGCTTTAGAGGTTTGAAAGTAGGTTTAGGTTAAGTAAGGCTTATTCTAATGGTAAAGAAAGAATCTAGATTCCTAAATTCGACAGCGATATTTGCAAAAGATCGGTATGCCTCCTTGTCAGCACTGTCTTGAGGATTATTAAGGGGACGCGTTAGAGGTTCGAATTTGTCTTCGACTTAACAGATGAAACATAATTTTTAATCCTTTGCTTCTAAGTCCAAAATTGAAAACAATTCCAGTTTACTTTTTGCGCAAAAAAAAAACTGAGTTTTTAGATGATACATCTTTTTTTAACGCAACGGAAAATTCTCTGCGCTAAGGGAACTTTATGTGTTTTTACTTAAATGCAAAGATTAATTTAGAAGGAAATTACATCAAAAAGTTCCTTTGTTCGACAACGAGCGCTACGCTTACTCCAAAAACTTATNCCGTTGAAGAATTGCCTTTTCAAGCCCCTATGAAAACGGCAAAAATTGCGTAGCTTTACAGGCTTAAAACGCATCTTGGTATGTCCGATATGGAACTAAAACAAGTACTGTGCAAACGAGTGTCGTTTCCACTATAATAATATGGAAAAATATTTCTGGGCAATTGAGTTTCACACAAGTAAAATGCAAAAGTTCGCGACAGTCTCTTCTCAAATTTGCATAATGCAGTATGTTCAAAGAACTCTATTGTTGAGTACTCTAGTCTGTTTTGTTCCATTTGTGGGCCATGCTTTGTGGGAAATATACAAAAAGATAGTTGATCCATGTCTTTATTACAACATTGTTTCATTATTCCATGCAAGATACAAAAAAGCTGTAGAAAAAGCCCAAAATATAAGTTCAAAGTTATATAGATGAAACACGCTACATGTATTACGTGACTGGCGTCATGTAAGAAATATTTTCAGTTAGCTCCCATTGGAATTACTAGATTATTGAGGTTTGGACACTTGCTTATAATAGAGACATTTCAGGGTTTGTCTTTCCCATTTATATACACTCGATTAGTCTGCAAATATTCGAAAAGAGACTGGTCTTTTAAAGTAAATTTTAGCATGTGTCTCGATTTTGAACTCCGATTGGAATTCCTCGATTATTGAGGTTTAGACACTTGCTCATAATGGAAGCATATAGGGGTTTGTCTTTCCCGTCTATACACACTCAATTAGCCTGCAAATATTCGAAAGGAGACTGGTCTTTTAAAGTATTTTTTAACCATTGTGTGTCGATTTTGACCTTGATGGAAAATGGATTAATTAGATGCACTAAAATTAATGAAACAAAGAGGTTTTATTAGCATGATGCAGGTAGACCAAGGAAGCAGGTTTTCTTGAAAAATAGTTTAAGACTGTTTGATGTCTATCCCCTGATCTGACCTTGGTTGGAATTCGGCCTAGTCCAAACGTCGTGCTTCTGCTGTTCCGACCTCAAATAAATTTGGCCCGGTAGTGGCATGACAAAAAGCTATAAAAGATTAAAACGTCGAATTTAATTCACTCGCGCAGAAGATCGGGAGAAGTTTGCTTTGCTAAAGACCTTTTTAAATGCTAGAAAGCAACTGCAGCTGATGCAGCAGGATATGAANGTCGAATTTAATTCACTCGCGCAGAAGATCGGGAGAAGTTTGCTTTGCTAAAGACCTTTTTAAATGCTAGAAAGCAACTGCAGCTGATGCAGCAGGATATGAATTCACAGGGATGGCGGAGTCTTTTTTCAAGTGAAGGAAGGGGAGGAAGGAGGTGGGGTTGCTTGAAAACGAGCAGTGCCAGAGTAAGTTTGCAGAGGGGTCTAGGGGCATCCTCCCCCCAAAAAACATCTTAAATCTAAAGGCTCGGAAATGGTATTTTTGACATTCTCCACGGTGTAGTTCTTAAGAAAATCAACCTAGTGGATGAACTATAAAATGACAGGTACTTTTAGTGCATTTACAGCAATATATTTTGAAGGTACTGTGAGCTTGATACATCTTTCTCAACCCTCCGTGTTTTTGAATGAGGATTTCTAAAGAGAGTACTGTGGAAATACCGGCAGAAATCCCTGAACAAGCGAAAACGTTACCTTGAGGTAGAACTTGCCAGTGCTGGCCTGTTTTGGCGAAGTGGTGCTTCCAACCACCAGCACAGTCTGTGTATGGTGATACCGACAAATCAAAGCCATTCCCCGTTGTTTTACAGTGAATTATGATCCAGGGAACTGAAACTTTGATCTGATTTTTTTTTTGGAGGAAGGTTGTTTTCAAAAATGGATTTACACTGTGGAAATACAAACAGAAACCTTGAAATCAGCGAAAATGTCAGCTTGAGGCGGAACAAACAAGCGCTGTCTTCGTTTTCTCAAAGCTAAGGTTTGAATGAAGAGTAAGTGGGCACTTTTCTGTCGATAGTGATCAAAATGTATATTTTTTACTGCTTCATATAGATAATTTGTGTGTATTTTCGGCTGTTTCTCCGATGTGCAATGTTGAATTGTGTGAAGTCCTGTAGTTCGACCACTTTTATTTAGCATTTACACAAATGATCTTTCTTCAGCACCACAGAATTGCAGCGTCCAGAGCTATGTGGACGACACTAAGCTAGTTATATCCTTCAAAATGAAAGATACTGTAAACGCCTTTGCTGACTTAAGAGTT